TAGCCATCCTCTTGTAGCCTGTTAATAGTCTTCTTGCCCAGAAGGAGCAGGAAGGAGGGATGGAAGGAGGAGAGAAGAAGGGGAGAGAGGCGTGGAGGGGGAGAGAGGGGGTGGGAGAAGGAAAGCAGGAAGGCCCGAATCAGCCAGCTTAGCTCTTAGCCAATCCTGGGAAATTTCAAGGAGGGAAGTGAAAGGGAGTTATGACTTGGGGGTATCTCGAATGTCCACAGTCTGTGCTAACTCTATCCCTCCCCTGTCTTCCTTCGAGATCCTCAGACAGCTGAACCCAGAAAAGCATAGGCTGAGGAATCCAGGAAGTTTCCTTAGGCAACCAGATGTTTCCAGATGTTTCCAGGGGCTTCATTCCTTTGTGCTCTTCACTTACCATCTATCTCAAATAACTAACAAGGCTCAGGAATCACCCTCATCATCCTCTGTGTTACTCTTCAAAATCCAGGTGATGCTGACAGACGCAATCATGTGGGTCCGTGTTTTCCATCCCCAGAAGAGCTCCGTGATGTCTGCCGAGGTTCGTGTTTCCAGAGGAGAGAACCGTTGTTAGTTGCTTTAACTGGTCCCAGGGTTGGCCTCAAACTCATGATCCTCCTGCCTCAGCCTCCTCAGTGTGGAGTGATTATAGGCATGAGCCACCATGCCCAAGTTACTTCTTAAAGTAAACTTTTTAGAAAACTAGGACAATCGTTCTGAAATCTACTGAAAGGAGAATTGCAGTTTCCTCACGAAGGGAAAGTAGACACTGTCATCGCTAAAAAGTAGACAAAGCCAGGAACGGGGTGAGATGAGGGCCACAGCAGAACTGTTCCTGTCACTGGCCTCTGTCACTCTTCAGCATTTGCCCCCCACCTCTCCTCACCACCCACACTGGACCCACCCTAACTCTATAAAATTGGTCATGAATTCAGACAAAAAAAAAAAAAAACAAGGTTAACTTTTACATTTTTATGTTGTGTGTATGGTAAGTCATATGTGTGGTACATGCATTTGAGTGTGTGTGTGTGTGTGTGTGTGTGTGTGTGTTAAATTATATGTGGAGGGTGTGTGTAAGCACACATGCATTCTTAGGAGCATGCATGCAGATGCCTGAGCAGGTCTTCAGGCATCTTCTGTAGCTCTCCACCTTATCGACCAAACTGAAAGCTCTCCATTTGGCTACACTGGCTGGCCAGCAAGCTCTTAGGACACACCTGTCCCCCACCCCACAGTGTTGGGGTTATGGGCACTGCAGTCAGGCCTGGCTGGGGGGGGAAATGGGTGCTGGGGATTTGAACTCGGGGCCGTATGCTTTCAGATCAAACACTCTTTTACTTATTGAGCCGTCTCTCCAGTCTTGTTAGTTAGTTAGTTAGCTAGTTAGTTGGTTTTAAGAACAAAATTTTCCCCAATATCTAGGGACAAAGAAGCCATTTTCTTGGATGTTTCATTTACCCCCACGCACATGCTGGAGCGGAAGAGCACACCTTACTCTCAGGAGCAGTGAAGAGTATGGTGTGAAGGCCAGCCCCTTCACACCATTCTCTGAATTAGCCAGAGGCTCCAGGTTCAGTTATGAAGTGGATGGAACTGTTTTCAGATCCAGGCCCTAGCCCCACATCCTACCTGCCAGTCTTGGGGGTTGGGACATGATGCTTCTTCCTTTTACCAGCAATGTGGCTTGGCCCTTGTCGCCTGCATGGTTCCCGGCGGACAGTGAAGCAATGACTCTCTCCCGGCGATGCTCAGATGAGTCGTAGGCACGACGTTCCCCTGAGCCACATTAGCAACAGCTGTTCTCAGACCTGCATAATGCAGCCTGGACTTGCAACCGAAAAATGAGCTCCGAGCACCTTTGTATCTGTGTGATCAACGAGGACAGAGAAGAATTGTGTCCCAGCTCCAGGTACCTCTCCTGGAAGCACAAGCCCCCACAAACATCAGAGCTGTTCTGGGGACTGAAGAACTAATATATTCAGTTGTGCTTATAAACTATGCTCCACTTTTGGATAGTGATGTTGATAAATGGTGATGATTCCTGAATTCACTCTTTTTTTTTTTTTTTTTTTTTTTTAAGACAGGGTTTCTCTGTGTAGCTTTGGAGCCTATCCTGGATCTCAATCTGTAGACCAGGCTGGCCTCAAACTCACTGAGATCCTCCTGGCTCTGCCTCCCGAGTGCTGGGATTAAAGGTGTGTGCCGCCACCGCCCAACTGAATTCCCTCTTTTTAGTCAGCTCTCCACCACTATGGCAAAGCCCTGTGCTGATCCACTTATAACGAGTGATAAAAGTCTTCTTTGGCTCCTAGTTTTTGAGGTTTTAGTGCATGATTAGTTGTCACTGTGGCTTTCGGTGGCAAATCCACGGTGGGACAAAACTGCTCACCTCATGGTGAGAAAGAGAAGAGGGACTGGGATTCCAGCATTTTCTGAGGACACAGGCCCCCTGATCTAAAAGTCTCTAACAGAAGCCTGGCCCTTACGATCTCCACCACCTCTCCATAGCTTCACACTGAGGCCCAAGCTTATCACTGTGGCCTCTGAGGGACATTCCAGATCCATGCTACAGCATGCACCTCCCTTCTGATGGCCACAAATAGTCAATGAATAAACTGAGTGGCGGAAGGAGCAGACTACAGTTGTATCCACAGGTAAGATCCCTCATGACGGCAGCTTGATCCAGAAAACTCTCAAGTGTCTGGCTGATGCAAGGGCCATCGGCATTTGTAGGTCCTTCTGACAACTTGGGATTGGAAATATCTGTTCTGGGTTGTGTGATTTTATTTGCTTCTCCAATGTCACTGTTGACCTAATACAGGCACCCGGGGCCCATGCAAAATGCTATGTATCTCTGTACCATGAAGTCATCCTGATTGGTAGGGTAAGTTTTGGCTGCTCTTATTATTAATAGCAAACTCCCTGTTCTGGTCACATTGGTAAATGCAATTCAAAGAGAAGTCAGTCACCTCTTTATTCAAAACACAGTGTGTTTCCTGTAAGGGAACTCACTGCTGCATTCACATTCATAAACGCAGGTGAAAGAGATGTTGCCTCTCTGCTTAGAAACAACAGTGCTTTTCTTGGAGGCAAAGTCACTGTTCTAGTCACATTTACATAGGAAGAAACTGAAGCCCAGAAAAGACTGGTGACTGTAACTTTCCGGGGTCACAACACTAGTAAAGGGACAGGGTCATGTTCCAAAGCAGAACATACCTGACTCTGTGCTCTCTAACCACTGA